ATATATTTACTTGCAGGACATTTAAAGAACTGTGTGCACTTAAAATAGGCAAAAAAAAAAATATCCAGGTGGAGATTTTAGATTGAGGATATAAAGGGCAAAGTTTGTTTAACTTGACAAATTTAAGACAGTCTTATTCAAATCATTTAGTTTATGTCACAAGTAAACTAATGAAACCAAAAGATTTTTTTGTTTTTTTTTTTTGGTTCATGCAGCATTTATTTAAGAGGGAAGAAACAGGAACGCAGGTGATGAAAGAAGAAAAAAAGAATGGGGCAAAGGTCATCAGGCTAGGAATCGAACCTGCTTCGGTGACTGAGGCCTTCTCATGTTGTTGTGCTAAAACCCAGCGCTCCCGCTGCACCCTGGTCGGTCCAGGTTCTGTCCCTGGTGAAGCTTGTGTCATGACATACAAACACAGCATTGAACTTAATTGTTTCAAGTAAAATTAAAGTAAAAATTTACTTGAGGTTAAAAATGTGTAACTTTTAAGTTAATTCAAAATAGAAAAAGTAAGTTGTCATCACTGAACCAAAAGGAAATTAATTGATGACCTACAGCTGTTAGTATTTTACGCTTTTTAGGGTGAAACATATTCGCTACAACCGTAGCATTCAGCTGCTGGGTACTGCGCAGCAACAGGTTGGGAAGGGGCAGCGCCGTGTCACTGTTTGTTCCGAGGTTTATGATCAACAGGGGCGGGGTGGGGGGGTTTCTGTTTGACGTTTTTGAAGCGGGCAGCGCTGCGCCCGTTAAATAATCACAGAGTTTGTAAATGAGCAGCCAGAGAGGAAACGGCGTGCTCTCGGCGCTAACACAACAGCAATTCCCCGCTTTTATTCACTTGACTCGTTTGTGTCTCCGGCGTTTTGGTAAGTGCATTCCTCAGCGGAAGATGCATGCCCCCGGAGCTTAGCAGCGTTTCAGTCAGGTTCATAGTGTTTCATGTGATGGAGTGGGTGGCTGGAAGCACGCTGTATGCCATGAGGGTATGGTTTCTTTTCAGCCCACCCTGCTTAGTAATAAAACCTTCAAGCTTTTTTTTTTTTTTTTTTTTTCCCCCATTTCTTCTTTTAAACCACTGACGTTGGGTAATGCTGCAGAAAGGCTGATGCCTCGCCGGTACTCAATCATTTCAGTGGCTGCTGTACTGCCCGGGCGCGACTTTGTGACACTTTTCGGTCGTCGGTGTTCCTGTCTCGTGGGCGGCGAACCGTCCCCAGCCCAGGCCCGGCCGAGCCCCTGCTGGCACAAACGGAGAACAGGGCTAAAGCAAACAGAATCACATTTGTGCGCCGCGATGATGCGGGGATTTAAAAGCTTAGCTCTGGAATTCCCTGTTTGGTGTTCGATGGTTTGGGACGGCGCTGGAGCTCTGTGTGTTTCAGAGAAAGTACGGGCGACGAGCGAGGGAAACCGCTCAAGAGAAGGAGTCAGTAAAACGTCTGCGTGGGCTTTCAGCAAAGAAACGCAAACACTAAATGAAAGAATCTGTAGCGTATAGCGGCACTGGTAACGTTAGTGTCTTTTATGCCGGTATCCCCGTTCTCCAGTTGCAGATTGCTTTTACTTAATGAATCCGCCCCATTCGGCTTGTGCAGACGGGACATCGCCGTTGCTAAGAACAACCAAGTATACAGCTGGGGGGTCAAAAAAGGTCAGAGGAGTTCAAATGGCTTTCCGGCGGTGAGAGCAAAGAAGGCCTGAATGTTTGCTGTGCACCTGACAAATGCCTTGTTCCCAGCCGGCCTCCGCCTTAAGGCTTTTTATTCTCTCCTTGACATAAAGTCATTTTTTACTTCTTTTTTTTTTTTGTTTGTTTTTTGCTGCAACTGCATTAAATATCCCCTATAGAGACATTTTTCTGCAACAAGCAGAAAAAGGTTTGAAAAATATGCCAGGAGTCATTGATAAACATCGTTTTTTAAAAATGCGTTGCAAAGGTATTCACTCCTGTTGAGGTTTTTTATGTTTCTACATCAAACTGATGTTTTTGTTTTTTCATTTTTTTGGAAGTAGGAAGAACATTATGCAGCACAGGTTTTTCTAAAGTTAGGTAAAAAAAAAAGAAAAAAAAATCTGAAGAGTGTGACATACATTTTTATTCCACCCCATTTACTTTGTAAGGAAATCCAGCTACTCTGACCAGGTACAATATATATATATATATATATATATATATATATATATTAGTTCCTGTAAGTGATTAAATCCACTGTGAGACTAAGATTGCGTACGCAGTCTTAGTCTCACCTGTTTGGTCCACTTTTATGAAACTTTAGTTCATTTGTCTAGAGGTTCATTTGGGGAGGTGTGAATGCGTAATTGAACTCTGATGCGAACCAAAACAGTGAAGTCTGGTGTGCCTGAAAGGCTTGCTGTCAGTTTGATTGTAGTGAACTCTAGTGAGGTTTGAATGCATATGTGAACGCCAGTGACCACTCTGAAACCAGGAAGTGGATTGTTGCATACAGCTTTCTGGGTAAATACAACAAAAAGGAATTACATGCGTCTAGTGCAAGCGCAAGATATGCCTCGAGCGAAATCCAACAACCACTACAATCAAATGCCACTCCATTTTTCTTTACATTTTCGGAAGAAAGTTGGGTTCATGTCATCTTCGGAGGTTTTTGTGTCATTTCCTTACGTGGTTCTTTGTGCAGCGCCACCACAGGCGAGGAGGGGGAAATGGTTTTCCAAAGGTCTGCCATGGCAGTATGATGGCAAACCGTATCAACTGAAAACGTAACAAGTATTGCAGTTTTGTCCCTGATCGAACCAAGCAGACCCCACTCCAATAGTCAGAAAAAATTGTGGGAGTTTGTACGTGCCTAAAATGTAAAAGTATTTTGTTTTTTTTGTGAGGTGGAGCAAATGTACTTGTCCAGATGAGATTATCTGGGAGTGACTTTTACCAAATAAAAATATATTAGTTCTCAGCCTGTGGTCTTCTCCCAGAAGCTCTGTAAACTCCAATCTAAATCCAAGAGACTATAATTCTTCAGCATTGTTCCTCCTCACCCATTCTTCCACTGACTCCCTCCCTGCCGCCTCTCCGTCCTCACGCTCCGCCATCCCGCTTTCGTTGACACACAACTCGCCTGAGTTCGTTCGCCCCATCCTGCGGTTAATCCTTTTCGAGGTCAACGTCGTATTTCAAAAGGAGCAGTGTTCCTCCAAGCTCATTTCTGGCTGCCCGTCCTCGACATGTTTAAAAAAAAAAAAGTATGTATCTACACGGTCTTGATGGCAGCAAACAGAGCCCTGGATGGAGTCGGCACTTTGTTTTTGGCACCGGTTCGCCTTTGGCTTCCTCAGCAGCAGAACCGGCCCACCTTTTAAATGTGTTTTCTGTGTATTCACAGCAAATCACTGGATGTGTGTTGTCTCTGGGTAGAAGAAGAGGAGGAGGTGTGTGTCATTTTCTCTAATGCGTAATAACCTTGAATTACGGCGATTTGTGTTGAAAAAGTTTTTCTGTTTTGTTTTGTTTTTGTTTTATGTACTCATTACAAATTAATTATGGGATGTGGCTGGAGATAAAACAGTCTCTTGTGAACAGCGAGGGTGGCACGTTACCTCAGGAGTCCGCCTCAAACATGTAATTAAGCAAAGCCTGAGACGTATTACTTTGTGTGACATTTGTTTGAAAGAGGGACACTGCTTCCACACCGAGAGAAACCACAATGGAGTACAATGTGTTTCCATAAGAGCCTGGAAGCCCTTCACAGTGCTATGGTACCAAACAATTAGCATAAAACCCCAAACTCATTACTCAGACTCCCATCATCCGAGCCAGCACTGAATGCTGTCAGTAGTCAAACATGCATCCTACTTTTTTCTTTCTTTTTTTCTGGGTACTTTCTGTAAGTTTCCATCTCCCTTAGCAGTTTTATGTGGGTTTTGTGTGAAACAAAGGGCCGAGGGGGAGGCTCAAAAGCATCTCGTGTGTTAAATACGGAGAATGTGTGATGCTGTGGGCCAGTGTTTCTCCCAAAGAAAGCTGGAAACTTGTCAAACTGCACGGAATTTGCAACTGCTTAAAGGGGCAGTGTTTTGTAAATCTGACGTTTTTTTCTTAGCTTTACATCATGTTATACCCTCATCATGAGCATATCTGGAGTGTTGTCGTGATTCTTTCATGTATGTTTGACAAATCCCTTTGTTTCCCATGGCAACCACTCAGCTGGACAAAATGCCTGGGTGGACGTAGCTCCGCCTCTTTGAGGACGAACCTCCAGCTAGGAGCTGCAGTTTCCAAACTTCAGCATTACAGATCAGCCTTCTCCTACAACTTGCCCCCTCCGCTCCTTCAGACTAGCCAGCGGGAGTTAGCAAACACCTGGAGGAACTCTGCGTTTGCTGATCTCATGACAGGAGTTACTTCTCATCGCAATGCTGTTAAAACATTGTTAAAGAGGAGCCATGTTGTGACGGCGGAGGCGAAGGCGGAGTTTCAGACAGAGGAGGAGAAGGAGCTTTTAAAGAGACAGTAACCCAATTTTAAGGTGTTAAATGACAAAGTCAGTTTTCTATTGAGTCATATTTGACATACTCTGCATTTTTAATAACAGCTGAATGTAACATAGTTACTTGATTGTGCTATAAATTGATTTTGTGTGGCTGGGAAATCCCTAATTCTGCCCCTTTCAGATAAGAAGACGTTTTAAACAGAGCTGGAATTGAGTTACCATTGGGTATTTTAGGAGGTCTTTTGGTCTGATACATATTGTCAAATAAACATAAAAGTGGGTCGACCTTCTTGCACGACTATCAATCATAAATCCTACAGAAAACCTGTGAGAGGAGAAGCAGAACTTGACAAGTGGTCAAAGATCCCGCGCTCTCTTTACTTCTAGAAGGGAAGCAGAATAAGTTTACCGTGTCAAATTACACATGTATGATGACGTTATTTACACATATTTACTAGAGATGTGATGCAAGCATGTTTTCAAGGTCTGTGCATCTGTTTCATGTGTGTGTTTCTCTGACTCCGGCAGGGCCCTGTCATCGGTTGTGGCTCTGGGTGCCAACATCATCTGCAACAAGATTCCGGGGCTGGCACCTCGCCAGCGGGCCATCTGCCAGAGCCGCCCAGACGCCATCATTGTTGTGGGCGAAGGCGCCCAAATGGGCATCAATGAGTGCCAGTACCAGTTCCGGTATGGACGCTGGAACTGTTCGGCGCTGGGAGAGAGAACGGTCTTCGGTCAGGAGCTTCGAGTAGGTCAGTCTGAGTTCTTTCACCACAGGGAAAAGGGTACAGTGTGCGTGTGTGGGCGTGTGTGTGTGTGTGTGTGCGTGTGTGTTTATGTACGTACAGGGCTTACCATTTGGAGCGCTGACATTTATTTTTACAGAGGAATTACATTTTGGGGCCATTTTGGGCTTCTTCAGAAATGAGATCAATTTGTGAAGAATGAGTGACAGTGGGCAGAAAGATTTCAATATTCCCCTGTTTTATCTCTGACTTAGATAGCCAACACTGAATAATGTTATAAAAAAAAAGGTGCAAAAGAAGCTGTGTGTGCTACTCCCAATACATCTGATTTAAATTTGAACGGATTTTGATAGCTACACGTTTAGGTGGACGGCCATGTCTGGGTCAGTTGGACTTTCTGGTTTAGTACTCAATTGGTTCAAGTCTCACCTAAAGTACATGTCAACAGGTAACGTCTCATCAGAGCTCAGGTACCCCAAGGTTCCAGCTTGGGGTACCTGTTATTTACTGTCTACATGCTGCAGCCAGCTCAGAAAACAACACGTGATACAATTAGCTACCGTAATGACGCAGAAGATGCGCAGCCGTTCACTGCAATGTCACTAAGGGTCTATGAACCTTTTTCAGCACTGAGCAGATGATTCACTCCTGAACCTTCAGAGACACGTAAAGACAGCTACAAAGTCGGCCTTCTGTCAGCCGGAGAACATTTCCAGGATTAAAGGAATAATTTAACAGCAAAATCTAGAGAAACTCATACATGTGTTTTTCTTTACTTCCACTGATTGCTGTAGCGTCCTCACAGGTCTGCCCCAAAAAAATCCTGCAGCTGCAGCTGATCCAGAATGCTGCTCACATTCTCTGAAACCAGGAAGACAGAACACATGGCCCAGTTCTGAAGTCTTTGCACTGGCTACTTGAATAGATGTTTTTTTTATTTTATTTTTTTATGCTTTTGCTGGTTCATAAATCTGAATGGCTTGGCACTGAAATGCATTAAATATCTGTTGTCGTTACACCAACTTTCCAGACCGCTCGGATCTTCTGGTTCGAGTCTACTCGGCGCACTCACAACCGGATCCAAACATGGAGAAGCAGCAGTTAGTTTTTATACTTCACTAATCCCGAACAATAAATAATAACTGGAGTATACATAAATTTTTTATGGTCTTTACCCCAGTATTTTACGATTTTTGATGATTGCGATGATATCATTTGTTAAAATGTGTTTGTTGTTTTATGTTTGCAGCATGTAAAGCACCTTGAATTGCCCGCTGCTGAAACGTGCTGTACAAATAAAATTTTTTTGCCTCTGTAGGTTTGAGGTTGTGTCGCAGGGTTTCCATTTTGAGCTGATTAATTGAACGGAGCTCTGCGGGTTGCTTAAAGTTTGGGAAATTGCTTTCTGCTTTAACCCTATAAGTCCTCAAATGTAGCGGCGACGATCCAGCCAGATTTGCAGTAGTGTAACTCCGCTACACTGTAAAATCCCAACGGTTTCTGAAAGGAAAGACATACAGCCAATATCGGCTTATTACGGTAATTTCATCCCCCTCCGTAGGAGGGAGTGTCAGTAAATTGGGAAAATAATTCACTAGATATTGAAAGTTCCTGCTGTTATGGACAAATGGCCAAATATATTTCCTCACAGGACATTTAAAGAACTGCGTACAGTTAAAATACGCAAAAATGTCCATGTGGAGATTTTAAACTTAGGACATAAAGAGTTAAATTCATATTTAAATCCCTGACTTGTCAGGGATGCTGCTTGAGATCAAAACAGGCAGGTGGGAGTTTGTCTTACTATTCAGATGATTTTGGACGAATGTAGGCCACACTTTTCAGTTTTTGCCCTTTACCCTTAATATATAATATATGACTTTCTGTCCTAGTTTACAAGGACACACAACATTGTTGTTGTATTACACAAACGTACAAACAGCAGCTTGTGGTTGTTATGTGGTCTGAATACTTTTTGCCAGGCTCGGTATGGTTGAACCGCTTGAGCTACCAATAATGTAGTCTGAAAATTGAAATGCGCTTGTCTTATTTACACAGAGGGAGGGGGAAAAAGAGCTGCATGCCATCATATTGTCTTGATTTTCTGAAGAATCTAAAGCATTTGGTACCAGTCCCCAACCCACTGAACCCAATGACATGTGTCTTTAAACCCAAGCCGCGCGCATCACACAGCTTAAAACTTAAACCAGCAACACCCAATCTTTTTGACTTTTTCTTCTTTCACCAACGGCCTCAGTCAAGAGGGGCTCGCTCTCTCTGCGCGCTCTGTTTTCTGTCGACGGAGTTTCTGCTCCTGTCGGCGTTTGCAGCGTGCCTTGTGCCGCCGGCGGGCCTACGCCGGTGGGCCTACGCCGGTGGGCCTATACCTGCGGCGGTGTCCTGGAAAAGCTGCACACACAGAGACGCGCTTCGGGCCTGATGGAGAAATTGTACGGTTGAAAACCGATATCTCAAATGAGGAGGCGGCTAACGGTGTTATTGCAGACGAGTCACGCTGAGCCGGAATTAGACGGACACATCTGTTGTTAATCGAGTTAAATTGGTTGTGTCCCTTCCTGGCCGCTGTGTGAAGGAAGAAGCTTACAGGAATGTAGGCTTAGAGCTGGGAAGTAGTAAAATGTTTAAGTGAGTTTGTTGTATTTGTATTTCAGATTTCCATTTAATGTTTATTTTTTATTGTTGTCCTGTTGGTTTGACGGTGCATATAATTCAGCAGTTGTTTTTTTTTTGTTAGGGCTAGCTGAATTCACTTTAGCTTTCTTGACAAACGAACCAGGTCAGACTTTGCATCAGCAGGCTAACTGCATTCCCCCTTCACCTGCTTTTTGGTCTGGGACATCTTATGTTCAGATGCATTGTTAAATGTTATGCTTTTTCTTTCTTTTACTCCCTTTTGTGCATTCAGCAAAAGTAAATGACCCACTCAGTGATTTAAGTTTCCCGTTTGGAAAAGAGATGAAGCTCTTCCTGTTGGTTGTGTCCTGGTGCCTTAAGAAGACATTTGGAGTTCAATTTAAAATGCGGTGATTTGTCAGAGATCAGGTGTTTACATGTCATTTAGTTATTGTTGAACATATGGGGTCACAAGTGTTGATTTTTCTCTTTTTGGTTTGGTTTTTTTCTACTTTACGTTTCATAAATACCCATCAGAAGTACATTCACACAGGTATATACACACGGATTGTTTTATCTCACGGTCTAACATTAAATCACACTAAATCTTCCTGCCTTAGATCATGACAGAGTGTATGACTGGATGGTAATGTGAGAGATTCTTTAAAAATATATAAATTATCACCTTAAACTGTGTGACATGGGTCAAAGGCCTTTTCTGAAGCGACTCACAACAGTTTACTTGCTTGTTTCTGCAGATATAATGTTTTTGTTGTTGTCATGATAAGTTAACTCTTATTACACAACACCGCCACAGTAGGATGCTGTCTGTCTTGCACTGTAAAAAAAATCAAAAACAAAAAAACGTCTCTAATTTATGGTAAAATCTCAGCAGCTGTGGTTCCCAGAAATTATTGTGTAAGTACATTAAAATTCAGTCAATTTTATTGGAATTTTAGCGTATTTAAATGATAAAGTTACAGAAGTTTATTGTATTTAAACAGTAAAACTCACAGTATAAACAGAATTTTGCCATATAAATACAATAAACTTCTGTAATTTCATCATTTAAATACACTAAAATTCCTATAATATTTGCTGAGTTTTAACGTATTTATACGATACATTTCTGGCAACCACAGCTGCTGAGATTTTACTGTAAATTCGAGATGTTTTTGTTTTACAGTGTACTTCATAATGTGGACTGTTGTGAATTTAGCGTCCCCCCCAACATAAATCGGTTGTTATGGCAAAACATTTCTACTTTGAGAGACCAAAATTTAAAGCTTTTGCATTTACAAACTGTCGTCTGTCTGTCTTGATGCTGGTTTTCGATGAAACATTTTCCGCACTATGCGTGACCTTTCAACCTAAGTCGGTGCAAGTCTTATTTGTTGTGAACTATGCCTTTGTTTGAGGGTTGATTCACATATTTTGCATTAAAATACACCCATCCCTCCTGATCAATATTATAGCTGAACATTCCTCTGGCATTCAGTTATAATTATTTAAAATGATTTAAAACAGATGAATGTGGCACATTCTCAGGGATCTGAAACTTATACTCCAGGATAAACCAGACTTGTGGAGTTCCTTTCCTGATATCTTGACTGATTTGTTTTAATTTTTGATTTATTTTTTTTCCATGACGTCAAATAATAAAGCAGAGAGTTTGAGGCACTGCCTTAAAATACATCCACAGCCGGGCCTCCATTCAACCCCGTTGCTGCATCAGGATCTTGCCCTGCAAATAGAGGTAGTTTTAATGATCCTCATTGACATAAAACAGGAAATGTTTAGTCTAGTTATTATTGCTTAGTGCGTCTGCTAGTTTTGATTCCAAATTTCCTGACTGTTGTGTTTATTTAGATGACTTTAGGCATATTTTTCCAAATTTCCCATAAGTCATTCACAAGGTTTTCTGCCTGGAAGTAATTTATAAACCACCCTGAGTTCATACTGTGCGTTTTATTCTAATATTTAGCAGCACTTGGTTGCAAATACCTTATGTGGTTGTTCAAATGATTAGTGTTGTTTGTCTCTGCAACCGTTTGAGGTATGAAAACTTTATTATTGTTTTTTTTATGTGTTTATCATTTGGAAACAATTTTGAAGAGCATGCTTTGTCCTTTTTTTTTCCTCTTCCACTTTACAGCGATGCGCTAAGTTTGTGTTGGTCTAAAAATCCCATTAAAATACATGGAAGTTTGCGGTTGTGGAAAAAGGTCGGCGAATGCTCTCGTGTGTCATCATAGGAAGCTGCGTAAGCCGCAGCAGCTGCAGAGCTGCAGCGTAACGCGGATGCAATCAGTAGAAATTAAATGAACATTTTGTGCAAGCGCCCCACATTTTTCAAGAGGCGTAGGCTGCAT